AAATAAAATTAGCAAATTATTTATCAAATATAAAAAATATAAATAATAAATATTTTAAAACACTTTTTTTTATGTGATTGTTGTTGATTTAATATATTTGTTTTACCTTTAATCTATGACTTATTTTATTTCTCAAAAATGTACAAAAAATATGAAGTCAGAGCTACTATTACAACAGCCTTCTGTTTAAAGTATGAATTTCAGTTTTAAATACAAAATACATTTCAAATTTCAACGCTAGTCAAATGTTTAAGAATATTGCATAAAAAGTAATTTAAAATTGACACTTTTTGCATTTCAAATAAATGATTAAATTCCCTGTGATTTCCTATAAATAATGCAAAACAGGAAATACGTGCACCAAACGTAAATAAATCTAAATAAATGAAAATGAATGACCATGTGACCAAAAAATGGAAATATTCTCCAAAATGAACAAAAATTGTGACAACCCAATAAAATAATAATAATAAAAGAAAGTAACATACAAGTTTCACATGCAGAAGAGGAAAGCACTTTGTAATTGATGGAAAATCTAGCGAAATCATTAGATCCATTCGATTCTGATTGTGTTGTCATTAAAAGACCATCAAGTACGGAGAACTCCCCAAAAATAAAAACGAGCCTCAGAGAGCATACACGCAATTGCCATTAGCAAACAAATGAGAGACGCCCCCCGTCTGCCCCCCGTCCTACCAAAGACTCGGCACAACATCTTCCACTTACAGCAAACGACAAACTTCCTTTTTATAATAACGCAAGTGCCAAGGAGAAGGAAAGAGGGAGAGCCACAAGAGATGAGCGAGCTGGCAGCTCATAATTATCAGCATGATAGCAAAATTTGTATTCCAATAATTATTTTCCCACTATTTTCCAAGCTGTGGCTGAGAGACGGCGGCAGACAGGAACTCGATGGCATACAATATAATTAATAACATGAAAAATACATAATGAAATTATTATCTTACCGTAATGTGAAATGATTATCGTGTATGTGTGTGTGTGTGTAAGTGTGTGTGTGTGTGTGTGTGTGTGACGTAGTGTGTGAAGAGTGGCAAAGACAATGGATGAGTCTCAACTTGAACCCGAGCGACTTTAACGCGCATCGAAATGCCATTTGATGATGGGCCCCGGCTCGAGTGACGTCGAGGGGGGATAGTTATATAGAGGCTTTGGTAATTGTTAGGGATAGGTCAGTGCCAGGGCCACTGCGTCTTCTCTTATGCAAAGCGTTGGCGTCTGCTTTCCAGCTCAGTCGTCGAGGCGTAACGAGTGACGACTTTGAAACGGTTACCAGTTGCCTCACTTGCTACAGTTGCCACAGCTGGTGGTTGCAACTCCCAATGCCTTCGCTTATAACTGCACTGAAACAAAAGATATGATCAAGAATTGGAAAATCAACAAGTTTAGTTTAAATCTGTGTTAGTTTTTCTCGAAATATCACTTCAAATTTAAAAGGACAAAAGTTGGTTGACTGAAAGTTTTATATATTTTTCTAAAACTTGTGAAAGTATAAAAGTAAAGTTTATATATTCTAGGTAAGTCAAAATTTCATAATTTTGAAAAAAAAAGAAATGGAAAATTTATGATTTCTTGTGTATTTTTTACTAATCAAATATTACGAATATAATAATTCTTCAATTGAATACGATTATTAAGAAGCTCAAACATTAATTGTGGATGTCAGCTTCCATTTCGATTTAAAGCCGATTTTTGTTAAGTGAAAGGCCACATATATTTTTCTGAGTGTAGTAAGCTATCTTCTATCTCATGTCGGTGTACGGTTCGGTCGCTCAGGTGGGCAGTTTCAAATTTTGTGATGACTGGGCTGAGCGCCTCGCAGTTATGTCAGAGGTTGCCTGCGGCTTCGTCAGCCAAGCGGAAGTTGATTTATTCCTCTCGGCGCGGCGGTGAGAGAATTTTTCCACAAGAGTGATGCATTGTTTCTCCACCTACTCCAAAAAAAAAAAAATATAACGAAAAAAAACAAACCAAAAAATAAAAAAGTCGAGGGCAAGTAAAAAGGTAAGAAAAGCTACAGAAACCAGTTGGTAACTCGCTCGTATCTTGAATTTTTTCTTATATATATATTTACCATAATTTGAGGCATTCAGTGTCTTAAAGAAAATTGTTCAAGCAGAACTTTTGTGCTTGGGACTCGTAAAATTAAGAAATATTTGTAATAATTAGCTTCTGGTTTACCAGGCTTCCTTTTTCCATTCTTTCCATTTTTTATTGCACAACGTTGCTTTGGTAATTTTAATTTTCATTTTAATTTCAATTTCATTTTCAGTGCGCACAAAGGGTCGACAAAAGAGGAAACCACAAAAAGGTAGTTGAACAAGTCAAGAAATTAAAAAAAAAAAAACAAAAAAAACTAAAATATTTTCGTCGTTTGTTGTTGGCAGCCTTTGTCATCAAGTTGGAAATTCTGCGTATTGGCAATGCCAATCAGATTGCACAAAATCTGTATGCTCGACAAGCGATTATCCTGTTTTTGAATCCAAAAAGTTCTCGAAATACTTTTAGTATGTCTTTACTTGTAATATTGTTTTTGAAATTCTTCAGAATGTCGACAACAACTCAATTGGGTCAATAATAAATCTCTTCAAATATTTCAGCTGTCTTTTTCAGTTTGTATCAAACATTTGCTTAACTCCACAATAGTCCGCCCTCGCTTGACATTTAATGTTTACAGGATATTAATATGCGAAACTTGAACTTGCATCGAACAGTTGGCTAAAATCGTTGATTGGGCCAAGGTACCCGCTGCTCTACCTGAAGTGACTCCCACTGAGTGCCACTACCCCTTACACCTACTGCACACCAGCCCTCTTCCCCCCCAAAGAGCTTCCAGATTGCACATTGCCTGGCATTCGGAAAATCATTTAGAGCTGTGTTGTTGCTGTTGCTGCTGGTTTTCTTTCTTTTTTTTTCATTGCTCCATTATACTTTAGCATTTTCCTTTTACTATTTTTTTTATAAGCATTTTTCAATCGCATTTCGATGCGCATTTTCATTTGGGGTCAAGAAAAATCCATTAGCAGTCAGTGGAAGTTAAATAGAATCCATTAGCTGCTGCCGGAGAAGTTGTTGCCTTTCTTTCCATTTGTTGATTTTGTTGTTGTGTAGGTGGCTCGTGTTGTTGTTATTCTTGTTGTTTTTGTTATTCTTCTTGTTGTTGTTGTTGTTGCTGTTGCTGTTGCTTTTGCTGTTCCAGCAAATTGTAATAAAGATTGTGCCAGCCTTGTGGCTCTGGCAAAAGTAAAAGGCGTAGAGCAACCAGTTGGCCAAGCTTACATCAACAACAACAACAACAGCAACAAAGAAGTGAAAGAAATGCGCTCAATGCTCACGCAATAGCCAAACAACACAACCCCCTCAACACCCCCTAATCCCTGAGCCTGCTGCGTATTTTTATTTGAAGTGGGTTTGGCAATTAAATTCATCAGATTTGGTCCAAAAGACTAAAACCCTATTTTAAATCGGCCCTCAACCAAATGCGCTTTGCCCCAGTTTAAGCTCTTCGTTATCGGAATCTTTTAATTTTTAATTTTACAGCATATCAGTTTATATATATTTTTATTTTTGCATAAGTTTTTGCTGTGTAAATTTCGACTTTTGCTTTGGTACAAGAATATTTGGTATTTTAGTTGAGTGCTTAAAAGTATGCCCCCAAAATATTTATTCAATTGCTTGATGTGGGAAATTTAGAACGTTTTCGTTAAAGTGAGTGCTAAAATCTGAATCCCAAAGGGACAGTCAGAAATTGTTTGGAAAACTATAAAATCTGAAAAATATAATAATAAAAAATATAGAAAACATTAAAATTGTATGAAAGCAAGCCTATTCTTGCAAAATTCGTTTTATTGTCTCCAAAAAAATCTTTGAAAATAAAATAAATAACTGAAAATTATAAAATAAAACTATGTCTAATTAGTTGATGAGTTTGAGTGGAATAACTAAATGAACATTGAGCAAATATGCATTAATCTTAAGCCACATTTTAATAAATTGAATAAAGTAGAAAAGATTAATAAAAACGAAGGGAACATTTCACCACGTACAGCGCATAGAGTATGTACATTTGTCAAGATATATGTAGGCCAAATGAAATAGAACTGCTGCAAAAGAAATCTGCAGAAAAAAAGACGACGTTTAAATCACTTTGCAAGTGTATCAAAGTTTCGCTTAAGTGTACTTTATCAATGTGTTAGGCTGGCCGGAAGCGACTGTCTGGCTGTTGGTAAGCCTCCACGACTGCTGCCTGAGCAGAGTGTTCTGTGTGCCTTTCTGGCTGAGGGCCACAACGTTATCCGGTCGGCCTCTGCCACTGCCTGCGCTTTACTTCTGCTTCTGCTTCTGCTACCCGCAGGCCCCCAAAAGCCGCAAGCTGGCAGTCCTTTATGTTTTGCCACTGACATCATGACATGCAGTTTGCAAGTGCCTTGCTAAAGAAAATCTATTAACCTCCAGTGACATGTAACAACTACAACTCACACACACACACACACATACACACACACACACGCACACACACACATACACTCACGCACACCTAATGTGACACAATGCATATTTATGGGCTGTCGATGTTGTGGGAAGCGCAGTTTTGAACCGTTCGCAAGCAGCTAAAAGTATGCAATGGTTTTTCGAGCGAGGTCTGTGTCTTGGCTACATCTGCAGCATAAATCAAAGGGAGAAAGCCACTGCATACTTTTGTGCGCAGTGATTAATTTAACCATTTCGTTTTTGCTTATCAACCTTTCGCACTTAGCGTGTGTTTACTGTACATAAATCAAAATCAGCTTGAGAAGCCAACGCTTTTATTTATCTCAGCCCCAAATAGGCGCAAAATTATTGGCAAACAATGAAATGTGAGCGCAGCGAAAAAGTCCTTTTAATGGAGTTTCGTTTTTGTGTGTGCGATTTTCTTTTTTATCTTTTTATGTATGTGCTGGACTCGCAATTGTAACAGGCTTCAAAATATGCGCACTCACTGGCCCAGCTGTCAGGCACGAGTTGGAGTAGGAGATGGAGATAGAGTTGGAGGTGGAGGTGGATGCTGAGGCTGAGTGCTTCGTCCTGCTCCTGCTCATGCTGTTGCTGTTGCTCCTGCTCGTCCTCCTGCGTGGAGCGCATTTAACGCATTGTCCTTTTAGCCATATTGATGATGATGCCAAATGACACCAAATGGCACTGGCAACACCGTGGCTGCCAGCAACGATTTTTTTTGCTATCACTTGCATGACTCCAGCTGCTTCCCCAAGTAACCTCCATTCCCTTCCACATGACCCTCCTTGCTGCTGCCGCTGCTGCTGTTTCGTGTTGTTGTCACAGTTGTTTCATGTTATGTTGCCATTATTTCGTGGATTTTTGGCTGCTTTAGCATTTCACTTTGATAGTCCTGCATGCGTGCGTAGACAAAGACCAAAAAAAAAGGAGGTAAGTGAAAACGTGGCAGTTGCACTTCACCGACTGTGCAATACTCTGTTCTGTGTGTGAATGCAGCTGAGTACTGGAGGAAAAAGGTTTAGTTGCCACTCTTAACTTAATTTAATGAGGCAGTTTAGTTATCAATATTTAAGTCATATACGGGATAAAACATTTGTACATTATTTTTAATCTATTTGAAATATAATCAAAATAAAAGTCTTTGGTTTTTCCTCCATACTTTTTTTCACTCATATGTGAAAATTTGAAATAAGAAAGTTTATTAAATATTTCATAATATTTAATAATTTCATATAAAACCAATATACACCTCCCAACTTTGTGCAGTGTATACAAAAGAATAGAAATGCCACAGCATCAATGTAGTCCTGCTCACTTTTTGCGCTTCATCCGTTCCGTTTCCGTTCCGATCCGTTTCTGGCTCAGCCTTGGCTTGGCCTGGCTGTGTGCGCTCTTTGCTAGATGGTAGCTGGTTGCTGCTAGCTTTTGCTTTATCTGCTGACAGTCATAAGTTTTGCTTTGCTTTCCATTTTTATTTCATTTATAAGCGCCCCCGTCTGCTCAAAGCGCGTTATCCTTTCCCTCCTTCTCTCCAACTGTCTCGCTTTCTCTGCTCGTCCGTAACTCATCAACGCGCATATGTTGGCCGGCTGGCTGGCGGGTTGCCTTCGTCGTTTGGTCTTCACTGTAGTTGAGTTTGCTCGCAAAATTTATTTTTATTTGCTGCATTTTCCTATGCTTTCAGTTCGTTCGCCCCCTCCCCGTCCCCCCTCATTTATTGTTGCTTTCCTGCTGCTATTTCCGTTTGTTGTAAATTTTAGTGGATTATCCTGCTCTCGGCATTTGCCATCTAGTTGCTCTGACTGCTGTTCTCTGCTCGTTTTGAGTGAATTTATTCAAACTTCACTAAACACAATCAATTTACGAATTATTATTATGCCTTATCCCCATCCACAGCCACATCCCAATCCCAGTCTTGGACCACTTCCGTCTTCGTCTCTCAAATTGTCGTCGCCATTTGTTGCCTACTTTTGTGCGTCGTCCTTTTCTTCACATTTATTGCATTTGTTACGCTTGAGTCGAGACGAGCCGGAGACGAGAGTCCGGCCCATAGCACTTTACGCTTATGATCTGCCTGCCTCCCCCCCCAACCCACTCAACCACCCTTCCCCTATATCCTTCCCTAACCAGTTGGTTCAACCTCATTTGCCGTGCGCTTTTAGCTTTTCATGTTTATGATTTCCATTTGGCTTGGCTTGGCTTGTGGCGGGCGGCTTTCGTCATATGTGTGGGGCGTGGCCGAAAATGTGGGCGTCCGTTCACAGTAATTACCACTTAAATCGTGCCACGCCCCCGCATACCGCCTCTCTTAACCGCACACACACACACACACACACACTCAGACACAAAAACAATGGGCAAAGTGTAATCATAATAAATAATAAATACATTTTATTGTTTAATGGATTGCAGTTACATTTTCTCCACTGTTGTCGTCGTCTTTGTCGTTCTTTGTTATTATTCTACTTGTTGTTTTTGTTGTTATTATTGTTATTGTTTTTGTTGTTGTTGTTGTTGTTGTCACTGTCGTCGCCATTGGCATTAGTCACACTTTATTTATGAATTATGATACACTTTGGGCCCTTCAAATGGGTTAACTGGCAACATTCGCTATAAGGAGACACTTGACTAAAATGAATCTAAAGGAATATTTATGAGAGAGATTTGCACTGGTTTATTTATCAATTGTCCTTCTCATCTGTCTTTTAGCACATATTTAAATCTTGTAGATAGATTTTGAAATATATTAAATAAGGAAACTCTAATAAAAATTCGGAAAAAATTGAATATAAATTTAAAAATGTTATTTGATTCACACAGTTTGAATGTGAATTGAATTGCAACACAATGTTTGTCATATCTATAAAAATCTATTCATTTTGCAGTGTATTTGCCGAGTCGCACATGAGAAATAGTTGAACTTGTTAATGAATTTATTTCCATGCGTGTGTGTGTGTGAGTCTCAGTTTTATTGTTCAGTTGGGACAAAGTGGAAATTTGAGTAATAATGATTTATTGGCTATTAGCAGTTAATTAGACTTAAAAGGCGGTCATCAAAAGGCTTAGCCCGTGGCTAATGAAAAACTAAGCGGCCCCCAAACACATCGAAAATTCAACTGGAAATGCTTTGAACTCGTTTCGTTCCATTAGGGAAGCGAAAGCTCCTCAAGCGAAAAGTGCAATTAGGCCAAGGAGCAGAACAAGCAGCAGCAGCAGCAGCAGCAGCAATAGCAGCAATAGCAGCAACAGCATTCGAGTTGGCCAATTTCACAAAGCCTTGGCCAATTAAACTAATGCCTGCTCGAAATGTGCAGGCAAATTTGCAGAGGTCCTGGACACACACAAAGTCCAAACTCGATGCGGACTCACAATTGCCGGCCTCCAAAGATGGAGAGGAGCAAAGGGAGAGAGAGAGTGTATGCTGTGGAATATTTGCAGTGGCATCATATCGAGAGAAATTAATACATCATCAAATAGAAGTAAGCCCCAAAGTTCCAGCCGGTCACATAAATAAATAATGCCTATTTATGTTTATTACACTCATGCCTGCTGGCGATTCCTAGCCGAGGCCATTTCCCATTTTCATACACTCTAAAAATGAATACACGAAATTACGATGAATTCCTTGAGTGTGAGCAAAGTTTACTTTTAGCGTAAAAAACTGAAATGATCGCTAAAGTACTGGATGTGTTCGAGCAAAATGTTTATGTAAATAAATATATATTCTACTGCGCTGGAAAGTAGCTTTAATTAAACTGGAATTTTTGTTTTCTGCTTTTGGATTGTAATATCAATAATCTTATTTCTAATTTATAAATTCTTTATAAATCAGTTTAAAAAATATTCGCAGTGTATTGGCATTGATGTCCCTATTTAGCTACAGCTGCTCCGGCTCTGTGCAAATGTGGATCTGGTTAGGCTTCACAATTGGATTAGCATTTCGCATTGTTGTCGGATTCAGCTTGGAGTCTTCGATTCCGCCCGGCAGCAGTCAGGCTGCCCTTGCCGCTTGCTCAGCCCCTTTTTAACAGAGTTGTCATTGTTTTTTATGCCTCATATTGATATAGTCGCCGCTATAAAACTGGGATGGGGCCCAATTGGTTTTGACACTTGGAGTACGAGACTGAGTGTGTGTGTGTGTGTTTGGATTTGGGTTATGTGGAGGGGTTCGAAGTGTCATGTTGGCTAAATGTTTGGCAAATCCTTGACGCGTCACAGGCAGTTGAAGTTTACGATAAATGCCTGCAGCTCAACGGTAGTTTGAGCCTTCCATAATGCGCTGTAAATATTTCAAGCTTTCCGCTTTCAGCTTTTCGTTAGTCGTTGAGATTTTCGCCGCTTGGCACGAAACTTCCGTTTAAAAGTAAACTTATGGTGGGTTTTAGCCAGCCAGCCAGCCAGTTAGCCTTGCCAGGCAGCCACTCTGCCAGTCAGCCAGTTACCAGCCAGTCAGGTAGCTAGTCAGGCTTGGCATTAAAAGGATAACAGCAGGCTGAGCATATTTCAATTCCGGCAAATTGACAAACAGGGACTTGTGACACCAAAAGTATGCAAAAATAAATGTAAGACTGCCTTAGTCGAGTCCGCTCGACTAGCAGATACTCTTTACTGAAGTCTTTACCCTTTTTAAATCTTTCAAACCCATTCACATACATTGGGATCAATGTGAATATGTATGAATTTAATGTTCCCTTTTGAATACTTTGAAAATGCATATTTCTACCAAATCAGATGGCTTACAAATTGTGGATTTAAAACTATCGCTAATCGATTTATGTTGACTTTAGGAAAACAGACACTTGATCTGAGATTGGTACATAAAAATTCTGATTTATAAAGACTGACAGAACTAAGGACCCTATCGACACAGCTGCATATGCTGAATAAGAAAATATATTTTACTTTATCGTATTGGAAGTGTCACACCTTAAAATTGACTTACTTTTAGCTCCATTTTTATTATGTACCTTTTAGCCATTTTTAATGGATTCAGGGTGCAATAAAAATAAAGCTCATCATATGAAGAGCAGCGCGCTTTAAAATGCGCTCAGGAAATCGAATGCCAAAGCCAAACACAATTTCGGTAACCTCGGCAATACAAGCGTCACTCACCACACCCCTGGAATCGCTTCTTGCTAAAAACAAATACGCAGTGTTGTTCCAGCCATGGGCGGTATTGTGTAGCATTAAAATGGAGCTCCAATTTAGCTGCATCCAATGGAGACAATGGGCCCAAAATGGCCAAAATGGGCTGCGTTGGCGTCGCTGCTCTAATTGACTTTGCGCGCATAATACCTTTTTGGCCAGGTTTAAGCGTCGTCATATTACTTAACAAGCCAATACATACACTCCCACACACACACACACACACACACACACACACACACACACACACACACACACAATAGCACCTACACTCGTCAAACATCAAGTGTGTAATTGGAATCGTTGCTGTTAAGAGCGCTCTCGTTATCCAATTGCCAAGAGCCTCAAGATACCCTATACATGCTGCTGAGAAGTGCAACGAATTCAAGTGAATTATGTGCCTTAAACCATCTTGCATATAATAAGGAATTTAACATTAACAATTAAAAATCCTTCTCAAAGCACCTTTAATCTAAAACTTT